ACTAAAACACCTCAAAAACTTACTAGAAAACTTATCAGATTCCTTCAGCATACCTTTCGTTAGCAAATGACCGCTGCTGACTGACTGCTTTATAGCGAACCTTAAGAATAGTGTGCTTCATTCAAAAATTGATATTTCCTACCTATATAAAAGAAATATGGATGCTACATTCATCATATGTGGTCAAAATACAGATATTGAAACTGTAGTTAAGAAGTTCAATTATTGTCACCCATCGATCAACTTCATATCAGAATTTGAAGAGAACTCGGAATTCCATTTTTTCCATGTCTTACGGAAACGGAGACCAGATGGCTCTGTTCAGAGATCGATTTATACGAAGCCTACATGGAATGGATAACACTTGAATTTTCATAGCTGGGTGCCACTTAACAGAAAAAGGAAATCTGATCCATTCTTTATCTTCAAGAATCAAAAGAACCTGCACGAGTGATACTACCGACGATGAGTTAGACAAACTACGAAATATTCTCATACAGAATGGATGCCCATCAGAATTTATTGAGAACTTAAAAATTAAAACATAACACGGTGCAAGTACTCACAGTTCCAAAGAAGACCTTGTCTATGAAAGTTGGTTTCGAATGCTATACGGCAGCAGAGATCCTTAAGAATCGGCTGTCCAGATCGCCGAAGAAGACATTCTTCTCTGAGAAGCTACAAATCAGCTTCTGTACTCAGAAATTGGTTCTGGTGTGCTTTAAGGACAACTTGCGGCTTTGGGCCACCTCAATGCGTGTCTACAAATTTATTTGCTCCTGTGGAGCTAGTTATATAGGCCGCACAAAGCGAACACTTTTCAAACGTACCCCTGAGCACAATCCTACATGGCTATCGAGAGGAGAATGTAAATCAATTAACATTCCAATTCGTAAACATTTGGCCAACTCTAGACACATAGCTTGACGACAGTCCTCCTTCAGTGTTATTTATATAGTCAAATGCAAGTGAGATAAATATAATTGTTCTTAACCATCATGGCCCCTCCACCAATTGCCTAGAAAACTAATAGGAATTTCAGTTAGGAACTAGTCTTACTGTATTAAATAGTTAAGATATAGGCCAGCATTCAAAATGATTTAACACCACTAGCCTCGAGTAAGAGTCAAACCTTATTTACCAGTTATATACGATATCTACACACCACTTCACCTATCAGTCATCTGAAGTGTGCATAAATGCTTCACTTGTGGACAGCCTCAGAAATATTTCCCACTGCATCCATTTGTTTGGTGCACTCCATATTTTTACTGCATAAAATAAGTACCACCTTACCAATCTGATTCATCAGTCTACTGCATTTTATCAACACAGGGAGAAAAACACTATGTTGAGTATATCACTTTGCATGACTTTGTTCCTATGAACTGCCTGTTACCTATTTACCTGCACTACTGTCTTCTCATTCCATCTGTACAACTTGCTTAGCTCAATTACAATAAGTTTTTTCGACTATGCTGATAATCTGAAAGTTCCCGCATCGGTTACCGCTTTACCACATTGTTCTCCACTAATTCGTTTTTGATCTAATATTGGGTTATGATCCTCTCTGAATGGTTGTATACTTCTTGAAAATGTCAGATTATCAGTCTTTGTTTCAAGGGTGAACAAGATTTGTGCGAACTATTTCCGTTTTGCGATCCCTGTCTCACTAATGGCTGTATTACAGAAGATAACAGGTATGACCTAACTTGCTTTGTGCCTTTTTCTGATCTTTCTAGGACTTTCTATATCCCAATGATTTTGACAAAATATCTCCCACCTGACCACTTACATACAGAAGCTTTAAGTTTCATGTATAACTCAACCTTTTCTTCAGCATTTTATTAACTCGTGCATCTTACCTATTCTTCTCTCCTGTCTCCCTTTATTCTTTCCTATTATTGGAAAAATAGTATGCTGTATTGCGTAGAACTTTGAAGACTGTCAGTAGAAGCAGCAGTGTACCTCTAACGGACATCATGTAAACAACTAGCACCAGTTACTTTATCAGATGATCGGCATATGCTACATTTATAGCTTTCTGTCAGTCTTATAGGCAGATCAAACGTAAGACTGTATAAACCTACAACCAAATTCTTTATATAACTGCCAACCTATGTGAAAGTGTTAGGAATATACATATTTATCAACCTTGTAATAGCAAATGAATTAATGGTTACCTTGCTTGCCATCATCTATGTATTGACAATCTAATTATTGCTAATGACTATAAATAATAACCACTCCTTTTATTGGTAAAAGCTGTACATAGAGATTTTGTGGGTTAACATTGTCTTGTGTTTTTGATGCAATACTGCAAGCTGAAACTTCTGCATAGTACTACCGAAACACCTTTCAGAGCAGAACTTTTATTTTCGATGGAATACAATGTTCACTGTTTTCTCGTTTGTTAATTCAAATTCACTGTCTCTTCATGATAATCTCTTCCAATACTAACATAAGGGTCAAACTTGGACAGTGTTGTAGAATGTGTTGCAATTACTGACTGGATTATATTTTGAACACACAATAGTTCCATCAAGGTATTTACGTGTGGTTTGCAGTCTAGTATACAAAGCTGTACCGGGTTGGGCCACATTGCTTTATTTATAATACTGTCAGCTGTGAAATATTTTACAGAATAAAAGTTAAATCGAAATAATGACAACCTATGCAAGATTGACTTCCTTCGATCTGTACCCTATATGAAGATGAACGTCGTAAACGATTGTCGGTTGGGGCGTGTTACGTATGCCTAGTCACCGATTGCCTCGTCACACAATGTTGGTCGAAGTAGGTTCAGGTTGAAAAAAGACTCGAGGTGGCTAGACTAAAACATGACATCAATGTATGAAGTCTTTGACTGTTGGTTTGAGTCATGTGGAGCGATGTAGACTAACCGGTTGAGGTTCACGAGACAAGAGAACCCAGTGGTTGGAGACTCTAGGTGATATGGCTGAGAACCGATATCAGCGGCGCAGATGTATACACACATTATCCTCACCTTAACGCTATGCTGAATCCCACCATTTTCTCACTCTTTCTTTCTCTCTTTTAGTACTTTATATTTCTTTTGACTGAATTTTTTTTCTTCACCTTTCACTCCACTGCCTTCTTATTTGATGTACTGATATGAGCTGTAGCAACTCGGACCGTTACGCAGTAATGCCTGGTGGCATGTTGATTTGGATGGATTACCTACGTAATATATATCTCCAGGAAGACTTATAAATCCAACCTTTTTGTACAAACTGTAAATGCTATACTTCGTACTGACTAAACACTTTTCATGTTTATCACTAAATAATTGGGCTATCTGAAGCGTAACATTACAGGCAAGTATTAACTGGAGGGTTAGTATAAACTTGAAGTTAATTTTGTCCCTTAAATATACCTCAACCAAGTTCGAATTCGGCATTATAGTGCAATCTGATACTAATAAATAAACGAATACCGTAAAACAAAGAACGTAATATGGATAGACGCAGAGACAGTCACTTCCGTTCCTCAAACAAATTGCACTCTATATAGAGAATGTAGAAGGTAGAAGTTAAGATGGTATTTGGAATTGGGACTTCACGTAATAAATGATTCTTCTTAGACACATGTTGTTTGTTAGTGAATAACCACTCTGATACTCCTAACAGTATAGCAAGTTAACCCCTTAGCTCATAATTACTTTCTTACAAGTTACAACTGGTCATTAATAGGTACTTTTATCCATTAAATTGGTATCAATTTAAGAAATCCGGCTTAAAACAGTACTACACACAGAATAGCAAGCTAAATCTATGCATTATTTTAACTGACATCGTAATAATGCACAAATACCAGTAACAGTAAGCTTACGTATATTTATGAATTAGACCGAATGCTACAGATTTTGGAAGTGTTACGATTACTACTTACCAATCCTGTTCGTAGTATATAAAATGAATCTTAACCCAAGACATAACAGCTGCGAATTTAATGGCGATATGATTGTTTTTCGACCTTAAAATACTAAAATTCGGAAGTAAATCATAAGCATTACAGATAGTCCTTGAAAAAAGCTTTTTTTATATCTTTATAACAAGTAGTAATTACATTGTTTTCCTACTGACTGGTAAAAAAATCAATGTTAACCCAATAAATCATGTGACTTATTAGTCTACGAGCTATAGAAGCGAAAAAAAATTTTCTCACCTATTTAAAAGTACATTTTGTTCCTGTAGGGTTTCCTACTAATATGGAAATCACCTAGATATTTCATTTGTTATGAAACTTCATTTACACAGCCTGAAAATAAATTCTCCTTTGACATTTCAAATTTACATATCTGAGAAATGTTACACATTATTTTAGTTGAATGTGAACATGCTTACTGTGATATAAAAGAGAATAAATAGGCGAAAATTGTTGACGAAAGACGTAATTTATTTGACGAGCAAATACATAGGATATATCATTGTTTTAATTATTCTCTCAGATATGCACATTTCTAGTTAGGAGAGTAACAATTATCAAGCTTTTACAACTCTTAAAATGATTGACATTTTTATCCGAAATTTCTCCACTTTCCAAATGCTAATAATTATTTCACGCTTATCCATACTTCATTTTCAACCCTAATCTACATACTGCTTTTGTTGCTATTACTGATGCTGCAAAAGGTGAATATTTTACTGTTATGGTGAATTCAAATTTAACCAAGCAAAGTGCTGAAAATATTCTTGACATTTATCACTGTCAAACTAAACGAAATGAAGCTACAAAATGTTGTACCTGATGATTGTTTGGAGAACACCAGATGTTGACTAAAACCCTTAAAACGCCTAAAAATCGAATCGCTAAAACTAACTGAAAGACGAAGTAGTACATTATGGCGTAGGCACTTAGTTTCCATCTGCTTCCCAATGCCATTATCAGGATAAGAATACATACTTTATGTCTTTAGAAGATTTGATGAGACCTTTTTATGTCAATTGAGCAGACTTGAGTGATATTATCACTAACAATTTTCACTAAGAATTATGTTTTCTTTCTTGTAAACCATTTTGTTTGATCACATATTTGTAAGGCTGTAGCGAATTTTTTCCAATAGTCGGTAAAACAAAACTAGTCATGTAATCATTTTTCATGAAAGCTGTAGTACAGGAATGAATTTTTCAAGAAGTAAACCACAATGATGTACATACAAATTACAATACAAAGAAGTTATAATCTACGCAACAATGTAATGTCAAATACAAAATAACATAAGATTGGGGAAATAAATCACAGTTAGTGGAATGGAAGCTGACTACCTTATTTAAAAAGCTTACAATGGCAAAAGTTGGTTTTTAGCAAGAACTGCTTTTGCCCCAAGGTGACGAAAAGGAGGGCCAGGACAGTCAATTAGCACAACATGTCCAAAGATGTACACATTATCATACAGACTTCCCAGAAATTCATCCGATACCGTGGTTACCACTTGCCTTGTATTGCGAATGAATTCACGTTTAGACATTTTGTTTTTTATAGACGGACTCCACAGATCAACAGATAACATGATCATTGAAAAGCACAATAAATAGACCTCATCTAGAAGAATAGAACCATATATAACATATTAGTCATCGTTTAATAACGTGATAACAACTTGTTTTTCAATTTGTCATATGACGTCAAAAAAAGCAGAAGCTCCTACCTAGAACTAGTACAAACAAGGTTGTTAATCATCAAATCAGTAATGATGACAGATTTGAATAAGTTAGAGAAAACATCAACTGTAACCTACTTTCTGCTAACTAGTAATCGTAGAAACCCTTGAAAAAAGGAATGGTGATATAGCTCGATCTGCAATAAAAGCTTCGATTTTACTCTAGGAGAATTCTAGCTGTACTACCCGTCCAAAATACGGTAACCAAAGGATAGCAACAAATCAACTCACTGTGTTTAACTGAACCATAAAATATCTGAGTTTTGTACAACTACACTGTAGCCCTTATAATATTTCTACCCGTCTTCAAGGGAAAAAGTTCCATTTAAATTATTCATATTTAGGCAGTTATTAAAAAAATTTTAAAACACAACGGTCATAATATCTAGTCATAACCCATTAGTTGTCAGATGGAAACGAGTCATTACCGGATTCCAGAGCAGACTTCACTGGAAGTCAATCCAGCGTCAAATTCACTACCTTAAGCTGGTGACCTAGTTCTTCTTTTACATTACAGATCCAGAAACAGTATATAGCAATTAACCCTAGAGGGTGACAAAAAATAAAGCGAACTTAAATGCGGCATATTTTTGAACAAGTGATTACCTTTCAAAAATCGCTTTAAAGAGTAGCATCACATACCCACTAGAAATAACTTAGGATTTATAAACGCTAAATGGCTTGGTGCATTACATTATAGAACTAAAATGAGGCAGAAGTCAGATGTTGTAGAAGTGAAAAGTTAAAGACAGTTAACAAAACGGAATATCAGACAACTGAAACTTATCTTGACCATCAAGTTAAATCAGTTTGATGTAGATTGTAAACATTTATTCTATAGTTTACTGATTACTGGTAAAGTACTTCAAAACTTGGCAGATAATGATAGATCTTGGTTAGGAAACTTCACAGTATGCGTACAGAGTTCTGGAAATAATACAGATTTCTACTCACCACAATTGGCACTTTCATACAGCGCATACGAAAAGCGAATAAATCAAAATAAACAACAATACCACAGTGTTAAAATGTTCACGAATCACTGTAAAATTACCTATGCTTTCATTACTATGAATGAGAAACGAGGATAAAGAAACATCTTTCAAGTACAGAGCTCCGCCGAACCACCTAATTATTAGTTTCAGTAGTTTAGTTTTCCCTACTTTATAGTCAGTATGATAGAGGAACAAAGCAACAAACTTGTAGGTAATGCTAAAATAGATGGCCTGCCCCAGTTGATAACAGTTGAAGTTATGCAGACAATTATACCTAACATGCATGAATCGAAACTAACTTGTACCCAGGAGGGATATTATTTTAACACAAGCTAAAAAAAAAACCTCCAGAAACCAAACTCGTAATCCAAATCGGAAGTGACATGACTTATTTCGTAGACAAACAGGATTCTCAGTGCCCCTACCATTTATCAAGGTCTAATTTACTGAACCGAACAGCCTAGAAGAGGAATAAGCGTTTTCCTGCTTCGATTTTTGTAACAGACACCAATCTAGTTTCTTTCTAAACGCGTTCACCAGAAAGGTTGGTAACATTTGCTGAAGTTATTAACGCACGTCGCTGTCCAATCGGTTGGAAAAATGCAGTTTCCCGATAAGCTGGTTTGATCATGGTTTCTGGACTATCTTTTGACGGTCATTATAATGACCCAAGAAGTGCAATTCACATGCTAATATGAAGGTCTTCACACACAATTTATAACAGGAAAAGTTTATAACTTACAAAAACAAACTTAGGAATTATGAATTAGCACACACCGTTTGTCATTCCGAGGCCTGGATTACATTGAGTAAACCTCTCAGAAAACATACTGACCAGTAGATGGATAAAACTTGATGAGCTAGGTCCTGTTGGTAGCACTGGTAATTCAGCAAAAAGGTTCCGCAAGGCATTTGGAAGTGAATGGTTCCGGAAGTCTTTCAACTGTATTAGTTCGCTTAACACCTGTGGTCTGTACACATAAAAGCCTACCAACTAAGAATACCTAGTCTCCAGATATCTGCGTTTCTGTAGTGGATCCAATCCAACAGCATTGTGGAAAAACGCCACAAGGTCGTCCACATTATCATCGACCAAACGGTTTTTGAACATGTACGACATGCCCTAATTAACTAACTAGTAAACATATCAGGCTTACTTCGAACGCGTCCGCATTAAATGTCAGGCGTGCTTCATCCAATTTTAGATACAACCGACGAAATGATGGCTCACGGTTTAATACTCCATTTTCATACGCCGAGCAGAAAGGCCACGAAGCTTTGCACAAACTACCACTTAACATTTACAAGAAACATACCTTCTCCACAATACTTCATCATAAGCTAAATCATACCATACACAGGAGGCGAGGTATAAATCAGTAGCATTCAACCTTGACAGCACATTGAGTGCAAGTTCTGCTGGTAAATGATGTAAGTCCACGAATTTGGAAGGTCGCTGAAGACCACTCGAGGAAGTTTCAACCTCTAAAAATATCCAAATAAGTATGTAGACTACCTTTCGTGTTTGAAACACTATGTTGCAACGTTAGAACTAAGCCCATATCAAAAACAACTGGATGCCAACGTTGACCTTAGGACACATCGCAAGGACAAGACTTCCCTGAATCAAACGCAGCCGATGGGTATTTTTAAACAATAGAAAGAGAAGAGTTTCAACTACACTTTTAATTTAGGTTTTCAATGATATTATACTCCCCATATTACACTGAGTTTCTAAAAATAACCGCTTTTTGGTATTAAACTGCGGTACGTCTCAGAATGTCACCTGACTTGTCTGGCGCGTTTTTTGAAAAGAAGTGTAATCTTACCGTGATTTAGTAATCTAGCTTTTGTTGTGCATGACGCAACGATAGCTCTGGTTTTCAGTGAGAGTATTCTATCGGGCTTCTAATTAGATGTTTACCCTACTTTTACCAGTTTTTCGCTTCTTACTGGGATAACGAGGCTTTACCTCTGTTCCAATTTTGGTTTTGTCTGATAACGCCAAGGTTTCTACTCTTTTTCAAGATTTTTCTAAGGTATTTTTTTGATCCTTTTACCCTTTTTGTGCTTTTTACTACAATGGAAGCCAAATAGATGTGCAAAGGCAGGGCTGTCATCAACCTGTTCCGGTGAGTGTGCAATGTAACACATGCGACGGGCGGTTTCATGGCGCTTGCACACACGTCAAGCGAACTGAGTGCACCAAGCTCAACATGCCTGGCCACTTGTGTAGATCTGCACTGGATGACGTTCTTGAGAATATTATCAGCATGTTAACGGTAATGAAAAACAGACTGACGGCAGACCATAAAAAGGGGAGGCTGGAAAACTCAAAAGCAGTGCCCAAGTACGAGGGTTGTGGAGTTCGAAAACTAAGTAGCGGAAGAAGTGTTCAAGTCTCTCAACAAGGGCAAAAGACTGGTATGATGGAGGACGTTGTGCACTTCAGCAGACCAATAGCATCAACTATCCTGTGATCCTTCGCTGATTTTGTCATCAACAGCTGCGGTGCAAGACGAAACTGTCATACCAAGCAATAATCCTCGAAATGAAAAATGGGCATCCACTTTGCGAAATAAGAACAGCCGAATTTCAACTCCAGTCAAGTTCATCGGGTCCGGGAAGGTGGAAAACATAGGGAACGAGACCAAGCAGGGTAATCCGAAAATTAGGAAGGCTACACCTGGGTCTGCAAGGAAGTGGAATGGACAGCAGACCATGCAAGTCGCTGGCGGCCTCGTTAAACAAGGGAATGTGTTGCCCACGAACTAGGGCGAAGCTAAAGGAAAGATGAAAGCCCGACAAAAAATGACCAGGTGCCAACGGTTGACAAGACAGACCACTATCCAGAATGGTCCTCCGATCGTCATGGACCTGGCAGATAACCCCGATCTCTCATACAGCCTCCAGGACACGAATGACAGGGCTTTTTGGGAGAACATATGCAGAAAACTCAAACTAGACCACACAAAACCAGTAGCTGCATATAGGGTTTCTTGTGGTACCGATCCAATAACCAAGGGCAGGCTCCGTTTTTTAAGGCTCACATTCCCCAACCCCTCTGATGTCGATGATGTGCTCTCGGCGTCTTACGCGCTAAGAGCTGAAGGTGAAGTAAGGATACTGCCAGACATCCCACATTCTGAGGGATAGGGTTTTAAAGAATCTGCCTGACGACAATCGTGATGCCTGCTTTAGAGGAAGAAGCCTGATAGTGCGAGGCATGCCAGAAAACCCGGGCAACGAGGATATTAGTGGAAGTTCTTCAAGAATACTATGAACCTCAAGGAAGTAACCACCCAAAAAGTTTCAGGAATACCCAAAAAGACGATGGCCCCAGATCAGGGGTGATCAAAGTGGTTCCTCAAGTGGCAACATCCACACTGGGGGCTTCCTGGGCAGATAGAAATCGCCTTCCATCAGGAGCCTGCATGCAGCCTGGCAGGTCGTAGAACGAAAATCTGGAAGCAGTTATACCTCTGGAAGACTGCTGAGATGCCAAAAGCGGTGAAGAGGCAGGGAACGGTACATTGGTAGGCAGCACTTTGGCACATTCCCAGCCCCCACGCCTGGGGATTCAGCCAGCCACCTGGAAAACAGAGAGGGCGCAGGCATTGCCTTCCAAGTAGACAGCATAAACTGCATCTGTACAAATGTACAAGGCTTACCGAACAAACCAGACCGGCTGCCGGAACCAAGTAGGGACACTTGTACTAACCCCAGTGGTGTTAATGAGATATGGGTTTCTCCTGACATGTCAAATCAGAAGCTGACATCTGCCAACACCATCCTGTTTCGCAGGGACAGGAAGGCTTGTAGGGGGTGGGGTAGCACTTTATGTCAACTCCCCTCAGCCCGCCGAATCCATATTCAAGAACCGGAGTTCCTCGAAGAGTCCGTTTGGTGCACCACAAAGCTGTCCAAGAATGTAAAGTGCTTGGTGGAGGTCACCTATCTGCTGACTTAGAGTATGACGACTAAATGCTAAGGGCAATCGGTTGCTCCCTTAAAATGGGGTGCACACAGGCGTACTAGTTTTAGGCGACTTTAACCTACAAAAGGTGAACTTCGCAGATAACATGTTTAGAGGGAGTGACGATTCCATTGGAGCCAGATTCTTCCATCTGGTTAGGGAGCTGGGGCTTATGGAAAATATGAGAACGGTAACGCGAGTTGAGGAAACTCGGACCCCATCTAGCTTAGACCGCTTCCCCACAAATAAATAATTCCTGGTCTACAGCTTTGCAATCCTTCCTCCTTTGGGCAGTAGTGACCACGTTATTACCAGTTTCCAGTTTGCCCGCGAAACCAATCTAACCAGACCCTTCAATGAACGTCGTTAGAACTTCAGGCTACTTAATACTCCGGCTTTTCTAACCGCACTGGGACAGATAGATTGGGAAGCTAACCATGTATGGCAAGATATGAACGCCTATTGAAGGTTCATACCTGACAAGATCATGCATGCTATCAGTCAGTCTGTCCCATTTTCGAGACCGAAGTGCTTTAGGTTACCCAAGGTAATACGGAACTACACTGGCAAACCACTTAGGTTGAAGGGACACCACTAATCTAAAAGTAAAAGGATCGGCACCGAATACAGTCACAGACAATTCGAACACACAAGAAACATATGTACGAAGGCTCTGAAGGGCCAATCGGCAGAGGCGTCAGGTCGGGCCCACAAACATGTTTGTTTCTGACTCCAGAAGTCTGTTCCGTCACGCTGCTTCGTCCCGGCGGGCTAAAGAGGGAGCCTCTCAACTACCAGGTGCGAACGGACTGGCTGGTAGCAAAACTAAAGCAGCTGAGCTATTGGGCGACCAGTATCTGCAAATCTTTTTGTTATCGTCCGCCTAATCAAGAGCTTACAAACATCCCGCCAACGAAGGACTCTCGGTCGTCGACCCGAGCGTTTAGCCAGTACAGCATGACCCGCCATTTCCCACCAAAGATACCTCTCAGGGACCAGATAAAATCAATTCACCGGTACTGTGGGGGGAGCCTCAACCTTGTCCGATCTTTCAAGCAAGTAATTTAAGAATTATCTGAGTCAGGGGATAGCACCCGACTCTTGGACGCTGGGCCACGTAATGTCAATCTTCAAAGGGGGTCAGCGAAGCAATCCAAAGAAACACAGACCGGTGACACTTCAATCCATTCCTTCCAAAGTAGTAGATTAGTCAGTATACGACGAACTGGGGGATTACCATACGAAGATAAACTTCTTCGCGCCCCAAAAACATGGATTTCGAAAAGGGTACTCCTGCATTGCCGATTTGCTCGGTGTGCTAGACAGGCGGACTGGCAATGTTGACCGTAGAGGACTGGTTTATGTTATCTGTCTAAACCTTGCCAAAGCTTTTGATCGTGTGAATCAAGCGTACCTTATTGGTAAATTGGGGTTAATCGGGATCTGACCTCCGCTCATCGGCTGGTTGTCTTCATATCTGCAAGGTCGATCATTTAGAGTTCGATTGAGCTTCTCTATGTCCGAAAGAACACAATGTCCTAGTGGTGTTCTCTAAGGTTCAGTACCAGGATCTCTCCTGTTTCTAATGCACATACACTAATTGCCTCGACAGGTTTCTTCAGAAATCCCTCTTTTTCTCCATGACGTGAAAATGTCGAGAGAAACCAGGAGTGAATAACAGTGTTTCTCCACAGGAAGACTGAACTCAACTTCACGACCGGGCAGTCAACAATCAGCTGGCACTTAATCCTGAGAAATGCAACGTGATACAAGTAAAAGGCGATGCGTCCCATTTATATAACCTTGGCGGCGTAGAACCTGAAGCGTCACCGACGGAGAAGGATTTGGGCGTCTTAGTCCCTCAGGACTTAAAATCTTATGACGACTGTGACCGAAATGCGTTTCGTGGAAACTTGGTGTTAGTAATTCTTAGACGAATTTTCGGACATTTCGATAGTGGTTGTATCAACAGCTTCATACGGCCTCACCTGGAGTTCGGGACTGTCGCCTTCCTCCCCTTCTCCTCAGGAGGACAAACTAAACTGATAACTCATCCAAAGGCGTTCGACAAAATCTGTTTGAGGACACAGATCTAAAGCGTACGAAGAACGGCTTGTAGCGTTGGATCCGTATCCTCTGGAATAGAGAAGGCTCAGAGGAGACTTCATAATGACTCATAATATTCTGGGCACGCCTGGCCACCCACTGCGTCACTCACTATATCTTGCTGTAGCACCAACCTTAGAGGACACACACAGAAACTAAGCCCGGAAAATAGCAGGTTAGATGCCAGGCACGACTTCTATTCCCTAATAGCTGTCAAGCCCTGAAGCGCTCTCCTTGAAGATGTAATCCAGGGCACTTCATCTGAATACCTTAAACACCGACTGGATACCCGCTTGACATGTGCCTATGATCTGGCCAGAACGAACTGAATTTTCACACCTCAACCACCGCCTTTTCCTCTTTCTTTACTTGCACAACAGGTTAACAACCACAAGGAGTAGTGATCCAAGAATTGTAGACGCGGAAGCCAGTTGAGCGAATTCTTCTTCTATTCCGTCAACAACCACTTGAACAAGCCGAAGAACTGTGTTTGGTAAACCTAAGATTTCAGACTTCGTGCCGCAAGAATAGCAAACACTGGCTCATTGGGTTCTAAAGCAATGCAAGCGCGCTCCTTGAATAGTTACATGTTTTCGCTAGTTTCCGCCCCTTACGATGAAATCCGCATTTAAGATTGTCTAATAAGAGCTTTCAAGTCCCTGTTTAACGTTTTTGCAAATATTTTGTTG